CCCTTCTTGTTGTCCTTGACATCCCTCACCAGATTTAATTCCAACTGGGCCTTAGCCTTCCTTGTCGCTTCCCTGCACACTCTGACAATGTCCCTATATTCCTCCCAAGTGGCCTGTCCCCTTTTCCACATTCTGTACACTTCCTTCTTCTGCTGGAGTTTTGCCAGCAGTTCCTTGCTCCTCCATGCAGGTCTCCTGCCTGCTTTGCTGGACTTCTTCCTCAGAGGGATGCATCGATCTTGAGCCTGGAGGAGGTGATGCTTGAATATTAACCAGCTTTCTTGGACCCCTCTTCCTTCTAGGGCCCTACCCCATGAGATTCGTCCAAGTAGGTCCCTGAAGAGGCCAAAGTTAGCTCTCCTGAAGTCCAGCGTTGCGATCCTACTCATTGCCCTGCTCCCTCCTTGCAGGATCCTGAACTCAAGTCTGCATGAGGCTGGAGAGCTGCTCCAATAAATAGGGAGCACACCACCTGGAGGAAAATCCCAGGAACACCAACCTGAACGTGCTGTCAGACACCCACTCTGTTTTGAAGTAGAGAGATTCAGATACCAATTAGATCAATTCCTACTGCTGAACTAATTGAAGATGTGTTGCTTAAACTGTAGAAGTAGCTGCAGGTTAGCAGGCAGTCTGATAAAAACCTCCTAGAGTCTCTGCAAATTTTGCCTGAACAAGGACTCTTGATTTTAGATGCGTAAGAGGGGAAAAACACTGATAACTCCCCCTCCCTACACAACTAATTGCTTAGCAGCCCAGTTTAGGAAGGGCACTGCTGTTATGCAGAAGTGTTCTGCACGCATTTAGTGGTGGAAGAAACCTTGGGCTGCCACTGCAACTCTCACTTGCTCCACAGACACTCCCTGACATTACTCCACCAATCTGTACTAAAACTGAGGTGGAGCAGAGGATCTGCTGACTCTCTCCTTGTCTCTTGCTATCTTTTCTGATGAAATTGCCAATTAGATGAAACCATGGGGATGGTCAGGTTTTAAACTGGGGGGAGGGGGAAGATGATCTGGATTAAAACCAAATTCAATTTTCAAATCCCCCCAAACAGCCATTACTTGGCAGAAATGTTACCATTAACATGTGCTGGAACAAAAACACTGACCCAAATGGCTTATTTGTGCTGTCACTGCTTAGTATCAGAGAAAAGTCACTCAAAAGAGAACAAGCTGTATGTTATTAATCTTTCCTTGCAGTTACTCCTTGGACTTGGAATTAAACTATTTTCTTTCAAAATGGCCACTACTGGTTTTTAGTGCTCAGATTTTTGTTCAGATCACACTAAACTGGACAGCTACCAAGACAAAAAGTTAAAAGTGCAATCAGAGATTACACTTTGACATCTAAAATATTCCACTCAGTTGGTGTCATGAATATATTTGTAAACAAAAAAGGAACAACAACCACCACCACCAAACTAACTTCATTTTCAATCCTCCTAGAAATGACTTTCCAAGCGGATGCTAGTCCGCAAGATTTATTGCTCCTAATCTCATTTTGCTACACTCATGCTTCATGCCTCACAGCAACACCGCTTTCCCAGCTGCATCCAAAATGACATGCTCAAGTTTACTGCCGGTTCTAAAGGCAAAAAACAAACCTACCACCCTTTTTAAAACTGAAATAATTCATTCATCAGAGACAGCAACAGAAATTAATCTCACTAGGATTCTGTATTAGAAAGAGACCGATTATATTTCCAAATATAAACCAGAATGGAAATGCTGATATGAGGCTAATCTGCAAATTCCGGTAATGTAAGGTATGCTGTTAAGACTGCTAAAAGTGCACTGCTGGTGCTGAATGCAAACTGCACAGGGCTCCAACGCTTCCAGCCTCGACTAGACAGCAGTCAGCTCCACACTAGCAAAGGGACAGTCACTTCTCTAAGGAGGCTCTACATCCAAATAGAATTTCTCAACACGTGTTACATACAGACTACTTTGAAAAGGAGTAGGAATTTTTCCAAGTTAGTCTTCATATCCCCTCACCTAATTAGAGCCCTCGCCTTTGACAGTTCAATAAATATCTCCCCTTTGTTTTATTAAGTCTTTGTTATAAATCAAGACAATGTACCACGTTTCTGAGTGTTCCCAGATCCTTGCAGAGCCCATGTTCTGTGACTGCAATGCACCCACAATTAAGATCCACGCTTTACAGGAAGCGTCACATACTGCACAAGCACTACACACTGCAGATGACAAGCATGCTGCTTTTACTGAATGTCACTTTACTGTGACAAAATTGAAACATGTATGCACTACAGATACATCCAGGACCTCTTGTCCTTACAGTGATAGAGGACTAAGGGTATAAGCCAGCTTTGGTAAAGATAAAGCCTATTTCGCATTCTTTTACTGTGAACTCATCGGGGGAAGAGGTAACCATTTTTTAATTCACTCCTCCGCAACTACATTTGCTCATCTTGCTGAATCAATGCTCTCCACACAAGAGGGGCACAGCTTTTTCCACCATCAACCACTTACTTGGCAACGCATTCTTTAGATTCACTTTCATTTTTCAGCTTGTGATAAACCACTGCACCCACTGCCAGGGGACCAGCATCGCCACAGAGAAAAGTAACTCTTCTGCCATTCAGATTGCGAAGGATTCTCTTCACATAATCAAGAGATCGCTGCAAATGGCTCTGGTTTTTCGTGATGCGGTACAGTTGCAGATATAAAAGGGCAATGCCTGGAACAATCACAGCAAAAAGAGAAAGGTTCATTTACTTTTCTTTCTGAGTACATGTTTTTGTCTTTATTGCATCTGAAGCAGCAACCCAAATGTGAATGGGTACTCAATAAAAGACATCAATCAAAGGTCCTAGCTTATGCAATATGAAGACATCAGGTCTTCTACCTTGATCACATTTCAATTTGGAGTATCACAAAAAACTGAATTTATCAGACTGAAACCCAACTTAGACTCACAACTTGCAGAGAATGATGAAATTCATGACACAGGCACTAAAGCCTGATGGAGAAATCACTAAAGACTCAAAAACTTAGACTAACCATCATGTGCATGACCATGTACATTAACTGTACAATACTCATCTATTATATGAAGGAAATGTTTTCTTTTCCGCTTGAATATTAAAAGGATCTTTTGATGAGGTCTTGGATTCAGCTTGCCAAATTCTTTATAATCCTAAAATATATTTCTTAATAAGATTATCAGCTTCTACAAGTTAAGCTAGTTTGTAAAATCCAGAAAGCAAATAAGAGTCCTTGGAGGATGCTGGAAGGTTAAATCAAGCTTCATTCCATTAAACTCATTATGTAGCTTTCAATTAAAACAAAAAACAAACCGTAGGAATTGCAATAATGTACATCTAAGAAAGTTAAATAAACCCTTTAAAATGAATATTTCTCATCCAATTCTAAGGGTACAGTACACAGCAAAAATTTACCTCCTGACAATGTTGTGACTCAAAACTCTTCTTTCTGAACACGGAGAACATTTTTTTTCAAAAATAGGACTGAAATGGAGAAGATGGAAGGCCCATTTAGATCCACAGAGAAGCAGCCCTTGGGGAGTCCAAGAGGAATAGCACCATGAAAGTAGTAGTACATCCTCAGATGTTCTCTGGGCCAGCCCTGAACAGGTTTTTCCAAATGGTCCCAAAAGGAGAGCTGCGGAGCTGGGCTGGACTTGCTGAATAGCACGGGAACTCGTGGGCTACTACCCTTGTCCACAGACCATCAAAGCAGCAACCGGCAAACTTTGCCTCTATGGCTATTAGCCTGGCTGGGATTTCATTTCCATAACTCTTTTGTAAGTTGCAACAAACCTGTAAACATTCAGGTTTGATCAAGGCATGATCAGAAAGCAGCCATGAGACCCAGTTCTCCCAACATTTCCTTGTACAATACCTTTCAAGTAGCTCCTCCAAGACATCTGACATGTATAAGCACTACTTGCATTAAGCAAGATGGACTCTAACCTGAGTTTTATGGTTGTCATGCACCAACAGTATACTCTCCAAGTTTCTGAAGATGTTCCACAGAGTATAAGCCAATGCTCATGCCTGTTCTCTGCCGATAAGATTCATCTAGACTTGCTACACAAAAAGTGGGACAGCATTTTCACTGCTGCTTTTTACCTTTTGATTTGCGTATTCTAGCAAAATGCTCAAGGAATGAGTTTGTGGAGAAAATATTTTCATGACATACTTAAAAAGCCAAATCATTTAAGCATTTCTGTTCAGAGTCAATTCCATAGATGCCTTAAAAAAAAAAAGTATACGATTTGAAACAGATGTAGTTGGCAATCCTTCTGCAGGATGGAAAAAGCCTGTTCTCATCAGACAATGTTCCTTGCTCATCCATCGTCTTGTTCTAGCTAGTGATCATTGTGTTACTTTTAGCTTATGACTCATTTTTAGCACACTGATTTATCAGCCATAACTTCAGTTGTCAGTCACTGAGAACACTGATCCCAGGAAGCCGTTTTGTAACGCCAGTGTGAAAATGCCCACTGCTTGAGATCCTCTGCATTCACTTAGCAGTCATTCATTTTTAGACCTTGAAATACATCTATCATTTAAGTTTGAGTTGTCTAAAGCTTCCCACCCATCCACCCACAGCACCATCTGTATCAAAACATCAAGAAAAAAAAGAAAGAAATTTTACACTTTATAGCCAGAATTAAGCCCAAACATGGGCAAGGCCTGGAGATTTTTTCCAAGCTGCTCCCCACATGAGACAAAGATAACAGAACAAATCTCCTCAGGCCGTATTTCAAACATGCTGTACTAAAAGCTTAAGTATGTCTGAAGCATTAGCTAGACAGAGCAGGAATAGAATATGTCATTGTAATAGCAAAGTGGCACTTAAGAGATCAAGATGGAAAAGTGTTTTGACAACTTCAAGAAGAGTGGCCACATCAAGCTCAACCACTGCAAGCTCTCCCTAAGGGATCAGAATGGCTTGTTCACATTTGGACAGCATCAGCAATATAATGCAGAAAAAATGACGGCAGCTAGCAATACTCAGCACTTGCATATGACTTTTTATCTTCACACACTTTACAACCCTGCATCCCCCCAACCTCCATACTCCCCTTCCCTCATACTCATTTTCTCATTTCTGTACAGAGAGAACAGTTAGAGCCAAGCTACGCATATTTCAGATTTTAAGTCTCCATGGTGCTGGACCCAGAGCACCCTCCCTTTCAGTGATTAGGAGACACTGTTACCATTAGATAACTGCTAACTACCACTGAGGTGAATAGAGAGAGGTGAAAATAATCCTTTTTTAAGAAAATCTTAAAGAAAGAAGAGGTGAGGCAAGCCAAAGGAGTTGCCTTAGAGAATACACTCCTTTTGCAAGATAAAGATGTCCAAACACAGAAACCAATCATCTCCCTATAAGTAGAACCTGTGTGCACTGAAGTCAACGGAAATTATTAGACACTAGTGATCAAGCATCCAGAGTGAAAAGGAACCAACTCACACAAATGGCTACGATATCAGAGTACTTATGCAGATTCTGCGAGGCTATCAGAACCTCCTCCCGTGAATAAGCCTCAAATTGTCCCAATAACACCATTTAAGAAACACGTATCGTTCAAACTCCAGATTTCTCACCGGTCCAGCCAGTATAGGCAGAGCAGTCATGTGGATCTGCCGTCTTTAGTCCTTCCTCCATTTGCTGCAAAAGGTCCTTGATTTTTGTCTGGATCCGTTTTGTGAACTGAGCACTGACCTGAAAACATAAGAGAGGAGAAAACGAGAGTCAGAGAAGAAATGAATCCAAGAACGTAAGCCAGCTGTTACACTGTTTTGTTTGAAAACAAACAAGCAAACAAAATCCAAAATACATGAGGGAATGGACACTACATCCAGCAAATTGGCAGTGCCAAGGTGGTATATCTTAAGTGTGCCTGGTTTAACGCATTCTAGTTACAAATTAGAATACATTACTAGTATTTACATCAGACAGAAGAATTATCTGGGCATGATCTGAAGTCATATGAAGAGCAGCTACAGATACAATGGCAGGATGTAATTATTACGTGCTGCTTCTCATTTTAGACTCTTAATGCAATAAGCAAAGCTTCTCTGAACTAGGTAAAAAGTGAATAAAAGTAAACAGATTGACACACTCCTGCTGCCACTCCATGGGCCAATATTCTATTCAGGGTCCTGCTACCAGGACCGTGCTAGGTTCGCTAAGCTGCGTTCATACATACAAACCCCATGTAACAGACGCTTGCTCTCATCACAAGGTCCTTGTGCATCCACTGTGGTGGCACTATGGAGCCAACAATGGCTACAAGAAAAAAAATGCTTGTAGCTGAGATCTTCTTTAATGACACACTTAAATACATCATCCAAGCGTATTCATATCTTCAAATCCAAAACTCTTCTGGATTTCCCAGTTTGTGATTACTACGCAGAAGGCAAGTCTCCAAAAAGCTGTAAAATGCCCTTCCTCTCTTTCACTTCCTGCTCCTTCCTCTCCCCCAAATCCTATCTGGATAGGCACGCTTTGGCATGAGGGGAGGTCATTAAATGCAGTATCAGTAAACTACTGAAAGACAACTACTTAAAAGAATCAGCTAGATGCAAAGAAGATGAGCAAAAGGAGCTTGGCAGCTTCAGCTAACACATTCACCCTTTGGCATGACGTTGAACAAACTTTTGATTTTATTCCTTTCTGGCTTTTATTTTTGACAAAGAAAAGTCTACGCTTTGCAATATATGCAATATATGAAATACAATTCAGAACACTTTATTCTGGCCAGCATTTCTCTCTCATTAAGGGTAGTACATGGGAAAATACATTATTGATTATTCCCTCAAGACTATGGAACTACACACTGTGGAAACAGTCAATTAACTAGAATTTATTGTTCTATTAATTTTCATGGGAAAGATTGTTTATGAAGTCATTCACAGAACCAGTTTTACATTTGCTATGGGAACTTCAGACACAACGTTCAAAAAATGTTCTACAGAGAGTACCAGCTACCGATCAGCTTTTTATATTAACATTCATATATATAAAATAGTTTTTAATAGATAACTAAAACCTAAGGTCTAGGTTTATTTATATAAGAAGTTATCCACTGCAGAGCTAGAGAACAAAAAAAATAAACAATTCTTCCCTTCCTCAGCTACGTGAATTACCAGGTAACTGCATCACTGTGATAAAAATAGAGATGTACCCAAACTTTATGCCACTCAAAAATATTTCCTGAACGCGCTTCCTACATCATCTATAGAAAGCCCCAAGCACATGGCATTTGTCATCCATGTCTTAGTTATCTAGAACAGCTAGAAGAGAAACGCGCTCTGGGAACATGAAAGCCAGCAGCTTCCCCCCACTTTCCAAACCCAGGGGTCTCAATGTGATGGACATCAGCATCCAGAAAAATGGTATTATGCAATTTGGCTACCTGTCAGCTTACATTCAAAATAAGCTACACTTTTTTGAACAGTGCTTCATCTGTTTGTTCTACCACTTGCTTCTCCAACCTGCTGCTCCCAAATAAGAGCCGGAGCAAGGCAGATTGGTGAAGGATTAGTTTAGTATTAAACACATCTACAGTTATGATTCTCCACTAGGGAAGGAGAAATTAGCTCATTACGACGACAAGTTCTTGCTTCATTGAAATACGTCCCAAAAGGGAGAGGGATTCAGTTAAAAGAGAGGTCCTGAATGCCATCATGCAACTGACTACTCAAAATACACTGCATTTTGTACCCCTGTTCAGAGTGGAACTTCAAATAAAAACCGGTGAATTCAAATATCCACTCCATAGGTTCAGAAATCAGAAAGATAACAGGAATTATACAAGTTCTCTGAGACACTCAGAAGTTTCTGGGTCCAACAGTTCAAATCCGTTTTGTGACGGTGAGATGAGGGGAGGAGAGAGAAGTCATATCACTATCTCACGTTACACACATACCACTCTAATCTGTCCTACAAATGAGCTAAAGCCACCTCAACCTTCTCCAATAACTACAAATAACAATGGAATACAGTAAGCATCTGATGTCTACTTTTTGGCCTTAGTATAGTATTAAGCATCTTTTTAATAGGAAACCATAGCGCACATAAAAAAACCTCTGCCCTTTTAACTAGTTCAGTCGAGTCTTAACACAGAGCCAAACCTTTCCTAAGGGCAGGCCTTCCCTCCTTCAAAAGAGAGTTAAGCCAAGGTTGAGGCATATGGTGAAACAGCATGAGGAAATCAGCCCTGATGCATCCAGGCTCACCACTCAGTTGATCTGACAAAAGGAGCGAACAAAGGTTTCAGACTCCCAGGTTATTTACTTATTGCACATCACAAGCTCCCTGGTTATCTTTTTGTTCTGACAATACACCTGCTGTTACCAAATCAGAACACTTTTTAATCAAATATAAATCAAGTTATTTAGAGGTAGGAGGGAAGGACTAGGACATCAGGACACCTGCATTCTCCCCTGGAACCTCAGTCCCATAGAAATAATTTAGTCCAGGTTGCTGTTTCCCTCTCTCTAAAATGGGAATCATAACTTACCTATCTTAAGTGCTTAGAAAAGCAAAGATAAAAGGATTTTTTTTATTATGTTCATAAGCATTTATCAGCCCAAATGAAGTTACTCCCAAGTTAACGCTAACACGGATGGTTTAGGAGCAGCAGCAAAGTTTTTCTCAGCTACCTGCTTCCCCTCCACCGTCTCCTTTTTTTTCAGCTGTTCTGAAGCTTTACCAACAGAGTGGTTTCACGTTCATTTGGTAAGATTCCACTATAAGCTTATAACAGATGCTTACATGCACCAGTATAATTTAATTATATAAAGAAATGAATGCTGAAAGGTGGGTTTATAAAATTTATAAGCCTCCTCAAGGAATCTTACGGTCGCTTTACAGCTGAGCATAAAGCACACTAATTTGTGTCGAGTGCAGACTGATTTTCATGAGAAGCATACTCATTTCATGAGGATGATTCCAGCTGGCATTCAGCCTTCTATGCAGGTGATTCTTGTTACTGCCATTCCTGTCAGGAAAAAGCAAAAACCAAGAAGCCTGAACCTCTGATATCCAGTATCACATTTACTGCTGGTTCACAACAGACTGGGTCATAAAAGGGGCTGAAGAATAACAAGTAGGAATGGCTCTCTCCAGGAATTCAAATGCTGCATTACTCCTGTGCTGCTGGAGGAAAAACGGACACTGCCATCCCAACCACTACTCCGTTTCAGGTCAGCAAAACACAAAAACAGGAGCTAATCCCAGTAACACCCAACACTCCAAGAAACCCCAACCAGCAGAATCCCCCACCATATATCATTTATCCTAACAAAGATCATTACCAGCACGAAACAGAAGCAGTGCAGAAAAATGTGAGTATGTTGTTTTTGCAAATTAAGTGTTTTGTGATTTCTTTAAACTGCATCATTTTTTCCACTGTAGTGAGCTGACAGGCACATTGGACAAACCTATCTCACACTCCAAAGCCTTTTAAAGGCAATTACAGTGTAAAGTATATGAGTATATATAAAATACTATTTATTTTTGGCCCCGATGACAAGGTGTCCAGATTAAGTTGTCCTTGATAGCAATACCTATTTCTCCTATCTGCTTTCTCTCATTTGCAGGCTTCCTAAAAGAACTGAAATGCTTTTTTTTTTTTTTTTTTTTTTTTAAAAAAACCTCAGCACTAAATTTACACACACACACAAAATCACTCAGCACTACAAATAATAATCTCCTAAAAGAAATATCCATTTCACTTTCAGTTGATATTACTATAAAATATCAGTATTAACTGAACTACTTCTCCTGTACAACCATATCCAGCTTTACAGTTCTGATTTTACAACAAACCAGCACTAGGAGCAGGCTAGGCAATAATCAGCTGTTATTCCTGTATTTTATAGTATGATTTTAGTTACATAAATATTTAAGAGAAGCCTGTAAGTTAAAGTCTACAAGTTTTTAAGTAAGGCATGCACATTTGGGCAAGATATCACACTGTTTATGTAAGTCTGACAACGCAACTGAAACACCTCATGTCGCTCCTGTTGTGGTTAGAAGTAATAATTTGTTTGAGGGACAAATTATGAGTTATTTCATTTGCCTGGTTCACAGACACTTAGATACCAATGCGTTTTCCAAAAATACTCAGCGTTTATTTGCATCCTAACATGTCTCTGGTGAGTAACTTGCACAGAATCATGGCAAGAGAATGGAGACCCAAGTTCAGTTTCCTTAAGAGTTGCCAAGCTATCAGTCTTTCTTCCCCTCACTGGCTCCCAAAACAACAGCTATTTTGCTATTTATACTCTTTCACAGTTATGCTTTTGTATTTTATCTTATTAGCTTTTCCAGGGACTGATGCTATGTGCAAAACAAAACTGAAGGAGAAAGTGATTGATTATGCAGAATAAGCAAGGAGATGGCCTATACAGTGCTGTCTATCGAACAATACATTTTTATTTCACCTTATTTCCAACTAGGTTAAGAAGAAGAGATATTTCAGAGAGAAGAGACTTTAATATTGGTGATGTGCAGAATAGAAGAAAAGATTAATACAATGCTAGGTTTTCTTTCTGGATTTTCTGAAACGCTCTTTGCATTTCAGAAAGAAGAAAATAAAACTCAAGTTAGTATTGCAGCAAGGACTCACTCAAAAATCAAATTTACATAAAAGATTAGAAAAGGGACACAACAGATACTGGTAAGGGAGGGGAGGGTGGGAGGGGGGGGA